CCTATCCAAATAATTATTTTTTAAAAATCTCTAAACAGAGAACACTTCCTCACCAAAGAAACTCCAATCTCATACCCTCCAGTAAACAACGAGAATGGGTATATGTTTTGCTGCAAGCTGTAAAATCTTCTGAGGTTAAGTATGGTGCTCTGAAGCAAGCCTTGAAGGTTTAAATGTGGAAATGAGAGCATGGGCCTAAAACACCATCGACCATACAGACTGATCCCAAACCATCTTTTGCCACTACTTTCTCAGCAGTTCTTAAGTGAAGATTAAGTGAAGGTTGCTCTCAGAGCCGCTATCTTTCCAGACTGCTCTTTATGTATGAATAGCAAGTTGCAATTAGTTGCTATAAAAATGCACCATGTCATTAATCTCAATCTTATTTTCTATTTTAGCTTTTTCACTGAGGTCCAGAGCAAGCCCATCTATTCCTTACTTTTATATAAAATTTCAAGAAATGAATTTGCTCCTTTAGAAATCTTAGAAAATAATAAAGTAGCTGTACATCACTGGAGAAAAAAAAATTTTTTTGAAATATTTTAAAGCACGCTTTCCCCAACACATGTTGATCTCTTATGTGAATGTGAAAAAGGGAAAGGAAGGCTCGTGGTACTTTTAAAGAGAGCTATTATGTAACATTTCAATGATAGCAAATGGAGGCAATTATGAACTTGGTAAATATTAACAGTTTTTAAAGTAAAATGATGGCATTCCAGATTTTCTATAAACTAATATATCTCTAAAACTAATAATAATCAAATATTTATAATTACATAAGCATGCCAATGATCACTAACTTATGCTGAATATTCAGTGCTTTAAACTTTCTAAATAATCAAGTTTGATATAATCATTTATACTGATTCATACATGGACTAACTTTCAATGGGAAGCTCAAACATTTTGTTTATTTAGAATAATACAGAATAAGAATAATCTTAGATCCTGTTACTATACTTTTCAGCCTACAGCTCACAAACCAGATATCTGAGGACTAGGCAGATACCTGAACATATAAATAAGAAACAAATCAGTTTTTTGGTTTTTTTTTAGAAAAATTTTGGACACCGAAATAGAAGGCCTTTTGCTGATCTTGATTTTGAGAATACACACAGCTAGACATAAATCGCAGTTGTTTAAATATACAATAGGTCAGATTTCTTATAAAATAAACCTTACCATGTTTAAAAACTATATCAAATAGCAATATTTGCCTTATGATAACTTGAAAATCAAACCAATATTAAGTAAAAGAATGCAACAAGTGCAACTCAAATAAGAAAAAATCTTAAAATCGGAGACCATTAATCATGTATTCAATAATAATTGTATTTAAATCAGAGCACAACATTTAAAAATGACTTAGTATTTAATTTATAGCTACATGTTAGCCGCTTGGAAATATGACAGTTATCTCATAAAAGAACAAAGCACTGCAGTTACTTCCATGGGAAATGTCTTACAAATGCATTACCAATTGTAATTAATTTTTAATGTTCAAGATTTGTTGTATTCATGAAATGACAAAATACTATTATCAGCGGTTTACATGAAAGCTATCTCCTTTTGTCTTAACACATACTGTTCCCCAAACAACAAAGGTTGGTGTCCCATGTGCTTGTCTTATCTATTTCTGTTTCTGCAAATCCATGATCATCCCACATAGGCTAATCTTTTATGGAGGAGGTCACTGAAGTTGTGCCAAAATTCAATAATTATGTTCACTCTGATGTGGCCATGCATTTCTCTCATTGCTGGAATTTAAACTATTCCCAACAAAGCATTTCATTTCAGGGATGAAACGCTCATCAAAAAAATGCCCCACTGTAAACATTTCTCACATTTCTAAAATTGTGACTAAAACACTGCAGTTAGAAAGCTTTCTTTTCAACACAGAATTAAAGTAGATACTTAATTATTTAAAGTCTCTTTTAATTAGGGGAAAGAAAGCATTTTATGTGCCTGTTGCGTAATTGAAACAAACAAAAACCCTGTCACATTTAACATGGTAAAGGCCCATAATCTAAGTTGACAACTACAAAGGAATTTCACTTTTTCTGAAGAGGGAAGAAGTTTCCACACTGTAAAGTGGAATCAGTTTTAATTTTTACAAAAGGGTGAGAATATGATGAATGAAGTAAAGTCTTCAAGCTGTTCCTCACAAAGGGAATACATTTAACAAACATTGATTTTTTTAAAAGTAATTTTATTCAGAATATTGTTTTTAAAATGCCAGCTCAATGAAGAAAATGTTTTCAGTGCTTTGCATTTATGGTCTCAGGGAAAATAGCTAATAATTATTCCAAAAGACTATTGAAGTACTCAATTATAATTTATAGTTGAAACAAAAGAAAGAAAATTTCTTACCTTTTTCAGTAAAGAGTATAATGTACATTATTCTCAGTACTTATTTGTTTCTACCTCAACTCAAAACTAGTTGTCAGGAATTGCCAACAATTAAGTTTCTTCTGAACTCACAAACTAACATATCTGCTTACTCTGAAAGTTCTAAATGTCCTGACATTTACTTTGCTATGGTCTCTAATTGACCATAAAATTAAAAAAATAAAATAAAAATTTCAGTTGAAACATCATCTTTTAGTGTATTTTAGGGAAATAGCTGATCTTCAAATAAGTAAAATATTTGATCAAATAATTTTTAAAATGAAAACAGATGACAGTATGCATATGGGAACGAAGATTAAAATAAAAATAGAATTCAACAATAATTTTGTAAGCAAGAATAATGCTGAATAAGACACGCTATCTTAGTTTTCCTGCACATGTTTGATGACACAAATAAAAATGTTTCCATCTTTATCCACATTTTGAAATATCTACATTATACATTAAATCATTTTTTTAAAATACCAAGATTTACATTATAAGAGAATTCAACTGTGTACTCACATAGATGCATAAAACTTACCAAGGTGTATTTTGGTAAGGAGCAGATATATATTTATTTGCTCTTGCCCATTTTATAACATCTATGTATTTTAATGTTAACTGATATGATAATTTCAAACTCTTCATGTATCAATGTAACTAATAGCAAGGTATACACAGTAGCAATTCAGTTCACAGCAATACCAAAAAAATATATATATATATATATATACACACATTACGTATATACCTAAATTGATCTGAAGGAAATCAAGATGTATTCTCTAATGCTAAAATTTGCTTAAAGTTAACTTTCACAAATTTTTATGACCCAAGTTAGCAACATTTTACATTGTATAATAATAGAGGGAAGATAATCATAGTGAGAAATATATGAAAAATACACCTACGAAGACAGCTTTAATTCATCCTTCCTTAAAAGAGAATAAATCAGGTTTTCATCAATATTTTAAAGGGAAATATGATTATTTTAAAATAAAAATTAAAGTTTCAGTCTAAACTACCATTGAAAAAAATATAAGGCAAGGTAGTGTTTAGAATAGCAGTAATAAGATTTCTTAAATATAACAACAGAGTAACTGAAATCCCATTTTTCTGCTTTTAAATACACTGCACTCTATTTTTTTAATGTCTAAATATATGGCTGAAAATGGGTATATAAAATCTGAGGTTGTTAATATCTGATTGCAATAGCATGTCATGGCAACATGTGAATTTAACTCTTAAAATACTGAAGTATAAAATAACATTTCGGCTTACATGACAAAATTCAGTTAGAGTAAAATTAATGGCTTTAAAACTTCATGTCACTGCCTCTGAGCTTCAGAATTGCTTTCATGAAAAAAATCATCTTTTCATGGCAAAACAGCAATGAAATACAATTATTTAAAGTTACTTAATCATGTTCACACAGCAAACATTTCTACTAAAACATCTGTTAGAAATAATATCAAAGTGTTCATACATTTTTACAATTACCTAGTAAGTATTAACACTTTTTTAGAATCACAAACACCATATCCAGAAATCCCAAATGAAAAATGTTAAGTTTCATTGTTCGCCCAACAAAAGTTCTAGAAAACTTCGTTACTTACTGTTCACGGGGTGTTACTTACAGAGATGAACAGTGCTAAGAATTCATCTGCTATTTATCCCGAAGTGTTTTTAAATAACCCGTTCGTACTGTACATATCTCAATGAGATAACCACCCCTACACTGGTCTGCTGAGAAAAACAAAAAGCAACAACAACAAAAAAATCAGTACATCTCCTTCTTTAAGACTGTTCTTGCTCTGACGTCCTTTGGGTGACCACAGGCAGGAATTCATCAAACAAAAGCTACAGTACCAGGAACATTTAAAAAAAAATTCTTGTTTCATATTTACTGTATAAAGTCATTTTGACATGCCTACACAACTGGTTGTGGCAGTTTTCAGACATGATTTCTAATAAAATTAAAAAAAAATAAAAAAATCCGCTCCAGGTTCTTTAGAGAAAGCTAGCCGCTGGGAAGTTGATTTTGGCCAAGTGCCAAAATCATGTGCAAAGGGGCCTCATTAGGGATTCATGGCAGCCTTCAGCACTAACAAAAAATGTGACCCAACAGGCTAAATCAGTGACTAAAATTAAAAAGTAAGAGACAAAAGACAACTTACTTAATATTCCTTCCAAAGCAACATGAAACTTTTTTTTTTTTTTTTTTTTTTTTTTGGTAATTAAACCCTTGTTAGTCTAATGCAGTGTTCCTCTCTCCTCAAATGACCGCACAGTTACTCTTTAAAACTTGTCAATGTGCCTTCTAAATACAGTTTCTTTCTGTGGCAGCCTACAAAGATTTTGCTCTGTAATAAAACTCCATATCTACTGTAATGCATCCAACAGCAGAAAAAGAAGACTGCAAAAATGCAGACTCCGGGATTCCCTTCAGATTTAAACAAACGAGGATAAGCAAACAACGGTACCTTTTAAACTTCTACAAAAGTGAAGACGCAGGCTCCAAACTCCTGTAAGTTGTGAGGAATCATGCTCACTCCCCACTTTCCCCCCCAGAAAAAAAAAAAAAAAGTAGATTGGATAGGTAGCCTTACCTAGAAGTCTTCTGGCTTTTCTGCAGATCAAAAAGTTTCCTGCCTAAGCACACAGATATTCTTTCACGAGCCATAAAGGCCCTTTTATGAAGCCAACACTGTAACAGGCAGCTTTCCACACCACGTTGAGAGCCCGGTGCTCCAGATAAAATACATTGCTAATGCACAATTAGTGGGAGAGGTTGTCTATTGGAGAACACCGTAACGAAAGAAGAAGAAGGAAAAAAAAAAAAGGTTTCTTTCTTTTTTTGGAAAAAAAAAAAAAAAAAAAAAAAGCAAGCAAAGAGGGTGCGGTCAGATGTTAGGTTTTGCCTGAGAAAAGGGCCCTCCGCTGCACTAGTACCTAAATACTAGCAGAAGCTGCCTGGGAAGGGAGCCAATGGAGGGACTTTGTTTGACCCAGCTGCCAATCTCCCCTGAAGCCTGCGCCAGACTAAACACTCACACTATTTTAACTCAAATCAGGCTACAGCAGCTGTTTGCTTTCCGGCTCTGAGCTCTGCACCCACCATGGCCTATGCCGTTCACCCGGCCAGCTCTGCTAGCTGCCTGGCTGGAATCTGCTCCGGCTTGGGATTTGTCACCGGAGAATATAGATTTTTAACCCTATTCCTTGTGGTATATATGGACTGTTTGTTGTTCTGCATTAAGTTCTGGTAATTTGGAATACATGTATGATCCTTAAAAAAAAAGCGATGTTTTATGTCATGGGAAGAGAATTAAGATTGGAAGGTAACAAGGATGTGTATATCCCTTTGAAATTCTAACCTAAACTCTTCTGGTGTGTTCAAATGAACACTGAATTAACCCTTGTGTGCAGCAATGGCAAGGCCCCTGCCACACACTTCTAAGAACAAGGTTAGTACCCCAATTTCACCTCAACCCAAGCTCCTTCAGCCCTAGCAAGATGGAAAGTTGGCATCATAGGACCAGAAAGACTCATGTCATTGTAAAAGTTAGAACCAGCTACTTAATGCTTTAGAAAATTCCCCCAGAAGCCACACGTAAGCACACAAGTAGTTTATTTTGTTTATACGAAAAAGTACCAAGTGACCCAATTTACCTTTCTTAAATGTTTAGCTCATTAAGCTACTAGGCTGAGTATAAAAACCATACCCTGAATTGTGAAACATTAAATGTTACCCGTTGATAGTCTCAAGTGAAAAAGGAAACCAAAGAGAAATTAGCCAGGGGAAGTATGATTTAAATAATAATCAAATTTATCTGATGTAGCCACGAGAAGAGATCTGGTAACTAAGACCTTACTGCACACCAGATAAGAGCCAAATACTGCACATGTGGAAAAAATAAATCAGTAAGTCATTCAACATGTGGAAGAAAGAAAGAATTCCAGAGAACTGTGATAACATGGAATAACTATAACTATAAACAGGTTATTCTTACTCCTGACCAAATTCCTACTTATGGACAGCAAGGGTGATGGTGAGAGAAGACGGCACCTATTTATTTACAGGTTTTAGTTTTTGTCCTTACACTTGGGTAGAAAGATGTTTCTTCATTTAGTGCAAAAGGCCAGTAAGACTTTTTTTTGTTTTGTTTTTTAACGTAACTAATTTGGTTCACACTATAGTTAGAAGATGAGGAAAAAAGGTTTCTGAAATACTGGAAAAGTATACCCAGTAATTTTTTTCAGAAAGTTGTTTCTTCTGCTTTAAGTAGAGAGTTTACTTTGTTTTTATTCTTGTTCCCCTCACCCCCCAAAAATAATATATCTGTTTTCTTCTCAGGAACTAGAGATCTAAATTACAAAAGTTGTAATTTTATAATAAAACTATAGGCCTGTGCACGAGATTTGTGCACTGGTGGGGGAAGGAATGGGGTCCCCTCAGTCCAGCCTGAGCCCTCTCACATTCCAGGAGCCCTCAGTGGGATGTCTGACTGAGCTGGCCTAAGCCAGCAGGCAGACATCCCTCTCAAAGTCCACCACTGCTGCTGCACTCACCAGCCATGAGCCTGGCTTCTAGATGAGCAGTGCTCCCCCTGTGGGAGTGCACTGACCACCAGGGGGAAGCTCCTGCATTGAGCACCTGCCCCCTGGTGGTCAGTGCACATCATAGCAACCAGTCGTTTTGGCGTTAGGTTGATTTGCTTATTAGGCTTTTATTATATAGAATTTTATTTCCTTAAAAGGTAGTGACAAAGAAGGTTATAGAGAGGTTGACCATTAGGTTTAATGGGTGCCCATAAGCTGAAAGACACAATTCATGAAAAAAACATCATGACAAGATAATATTGTTTGAGAGGTGAGATATTACCCTTATATAATACTTGTATATACCCCAAGGCTTCTCATTGGACTTGGCTTCCTATCTAGCAGAGTAGGGTTACACGTTCAAAACTTTTAAGGAATTCAAATGCTGGGAAATGATTTCTTATGAGCCCTTCACTATCAACCCAAGAAAATACTCAGCACGTTTCTCTGAATGGTCTATTACAATCTAACAAGCAAAGTACCGCCCATGACCACACTGGTCCTTCTACACCTGCAGTAGCTACAAAATGGCAGTCCCACAGTCCCATAGCTGCTTCTCTTCCACTGCCTTCTGCATCCCTCCCTCCTCCTTAGACATCATGTGCAAAGCAGTTAGTTCACATCCTGAGTGTTTATGTGCTGACTTGTGTTTCCCTTCCTTCAAATCCGTACTTTGAACCTCTAACTCCGAGTATCTCAGATTATGTCTATAAGTGGAGATAGAAACCTTAAAGAGATAAGTTTGTTAAATGAGGTTGTTAGGGCAGGGCCTAACCCAGTCTGGCTAGTGCCCTTACAAAAGAGATCAGGATAGAGATACACACAGAGAGAAGATCATATGAAGACACAGGGGAGAAGAAGACCATATATGGCCAAGGAGAGAAGTTCAGAAGAAACCAAGCCTGCATGCACCTTGTTTATGAACTTCTAACTGCCTGAAATTTGTTTTTTAAGACACCCAGTTTGTGGTATGGTATGGCGGCCTGAACAAATGAATACAATGTCTCAGTACAAAAGAGTGAAAAAGTATCTTATTTTGGAATACAATTTCTTTCTACACTCAGGTTTTATTTTCTTCTAAGAAAGCATGTAATTTATGAAGTATATATTATTCACATTTTCCAGAAATAAGAAAAACTGTGTATATGACAGACTTCTATGTAAAAATCATGCAAGGTGTTAAAAAGGAGGGAAAATATAACACAGTTGCCACTCTTCCATGGTACTACTTATTTTTATACTGTGAACAGGAATACTGTACTTACATCATCATATAACATATAATAAAATTGTACTTGCACAATGAATATGCATATATTTGGATAGAATTATGAAATAAATAGGTGTCTAGCTTTTCTTTTATGACAACAACAACAAAAAACACAATGGTATAGTCTGGGCCAGGTTGCTCAGTTGGTTAGTAGATGCACTAAGGTTGTGGTTTGATCCCTGGTTAGTGCACAACCAAATAAATGCTTAAGTAAGTGGAACAACAAACTAATGTTTCTCTCTTCCTTCCCCTCTCTTTCTTTCTCTCGATCTCTTTTAAAAATCAATAAAAAATAGAATCCATTTTAAAATGGTATGTAAATTCTTGATTTTGTAAGAGTTTGATGCATGGACCATTTACAATCAAGTTCTGGCATTAGATAAAATTTTATATCAAAAGTTGGAAATAAAAAGGTTAAATAGTTGTAAGGGGTGAGCTCAAATAATATTTACAAAGAGAAGAGACTCTAAAAGAAGGAAAAACATGTGACTTTCAAGAAATATTGATAAACATAAATGAAATGAGACTGAAGGTAATCAAAGATAAAACAAGTCGAAGTATTAATTAGAATATCCCTGAGACAAACCATATTTACCCAGATAATTAAGGGATGGACACTTCACTTACATGAAGTTGGAGGCAGCAAGATAATGAAAGGAAATAGATTAAAGTTGTGGTATTGCAGCAGCAAAGATGGGCCCCAAGACTCTCACTCTGGTGTACACTTGAATAAATACTTCAAGCATAAATTGGGTGGAAGCTGTGAATATGATGAGGTAGTTCTGTTGATTAAGTTATAAATCTATATGTGAGAGTTGGTGAGATCTCCATATAAATTTACTGGAGGGAGGAGAAAGAAGCCAATAGTAAATGATTGTAATACACCTGAACAAAACAGTTAAGCAAAAGGTATTGAAATTACCACTGCAATGAGATATTGTTTTACCTAGCAACAACTCCCATCAACTGACATGTGGATATTATAATTCATTCATCTTTGATTCACCCATCCTTTTAAAAATTATATTTAATGTGAACTTTACGTGAGGCATTGAATCACATGTTGTGTGGGATAAAACAAACAAAAATGAAAATACAGCCCCTGACTTCATGTAAGCAAACTAAAAGCCAACCAGCCAGTTCTAGGGAATGGCACTATGTTTGTTGAATGCTTCAGAAAGCTGAGTGGTACTTCTGGTGGTTTTGGAAATGTGATAGAATGTTATGACAATATTAAGAATCATCACCTCATCCAGTAATTAAAGTAAGGAAAATCGGAAGGGTGGAGAACTTTTCCAAGTTGATGAAGCACATCTATGCAAACCTACATACAGTTAAACATATTCAGTGATGAATAATGAGATGCTTTCCCCCAAGGGAAAGAAACAAGGCAAAGATGTTCCTAATTACCACTCATATTCAACATCATACAGAAAGTCCTAGCTAGTACCATAAGACAGGAAATGAATATAAAAGTGTAAATTTTAGAAAAAGAAAATGTAAGACTATTTCTTTTCATCGATGATAGGATCATCTTTGTGAGCAGAGTATATTTTAACTCTTCTCACCACACAAAAACAATAATGCTGTGATGTGATGGAAGTGTTAGCTATAATTACTATAAGTAGTAATTATATTGCATTATATAAGTATTTCAAACCAACCTATTGTACACATCAAATTTACACAATATTATGACAGTAATATCACAGTAGCATTAATAAAATATTAAAACTTTTCTGTTAAATCCAATTGTTTTCCTCTCTACCAAAAATTACAAAATTAGAATTTGAAATTTCAAAATATCACATAATAGTATCCAAAGATTACATACTTAGGTATAAATTTAACAAAATATATACAATAATAATATCAAAGTTCAAAGTCACCAAAATAACTTGTGGTCAAAGCTGGAAACAATTAGAAGAGCAAATTGAATCAAGTCATATTGGATTATAACCCAATGTACAAAACAAATATTTAATAGTATATACTAATATGAATGAATGACTTAAGTAACTTGGTGAGAATAGAAAAATATTCCATGTGGAACAATTCAAAAATTTTCTGAATCTATATATTCCATTCTGAAAAACGTAAAGCATATCTGTTCACTCCCTAAGTGTGAGCTGAGCATAGTGACTTCCTTCCAAAGAGCACAATTTTAAGACAGAAAAAAAGGAAAAAATTTAGAGCTTAAAAAGCTGATAAACATTTTTACAAGGTTAACATCAGCATCGATAAGTTGTTTCAGTGATGTTTAACTTTGATATTGTGTGATAGGAGTGGCAATGTCACTTTACTTTTGTGGCCTTCTTCCTAAAAATGCATTACTCCAGTCTAAGCGTAGCATGAGTGTGAGACAAATTCCTATTGAGAAATATTCTAACAAAAAGATTGACTAGCCAAAGCCAGTTTGGCTCAGTGGAAGAGCGTCGGCCTGAGGACTGAAGGGTCCCGGGTCCGATTCTGGTCAAGGGCATGTACATTGGTTGCGGGCACATCCCCAGTGAGGGGTGTGCAGGAGGCAGCCGGTCGATGCTGCTCTCTCATCGACGTTTCTAACTCTATCCCTCTCAATTCCTCTCTGTGTAAAATCAATAAAATATATTTAAAAAAAAGATTGATTAGTAAACCTCAAAATTGTCAAGGTCATTAGAAAAAAAATTAAGTCCAAGAAACTGTCACAATCAAGAA